ATGTAATAAGGGAAACAACGAACGGACGCTCAATGCTCTCGTCTCATAATAACCGTCTACAGGCCGCAGATGCGTTGGAAGACAATCTAAAAACTGGCACCATCTCGTCAACGGCATCATAAACCAGCAACATGATTTATGCTACATCTGCGAACGCTTAAAAGAAATAATATAATCAATAGTAATATGATGGTATCGGTTAATCGGTAATCGAATAACAAATTGATGTTTATCATGTAGCATATAAGGAGTACCAGTTTCTGAAATCTCGTAATGAGCGCGAAGTGGCTTTAGCGAGCACAGTGATGCGAGATGAATCTGGCACTGCAGGTGCTCACATACCACGGAGCCGTGGCCTGCTTAAATGCCAGCCTCCTCCTCCACAGGCAACTAGAAGCAAGGGGGTGGTGTAATATCCCGTGAAATCTCATTCTGGAGGAGTTATGTATTAATTGACAACTTCAACTAAAAATTTAAACAGATCACAGATTAAATGAAACTGATGAGAAATTTTTAAAAAATTCTACCACTGAACTTATGTATTCATACGGCGGAGAGCAGGCAGCCAGCAAAATACTGATATCCTTTCATTAACTACAAAGGTATGTGATCAACCAAAAAAGAATCGGCCAATGAGACAGTGGGTTTGGTATATATATTTGTTTTTAACGCGAAGTAAATCTGCCAGATAGGACGATAATCAAATCAAAAAGGGAAAAAGGACTAAGTAAAACACTCGAACTAATGCACAAAGAAACTAAGACAAACCTGATATAAACAACCTCTGAAATTCCGTTGATTCTTCAGCACTGAATCACTACGAAGGGCTGTCTTCTGAAATTTGTTTCAGAGAATTATACCCTTGCTACCTGCTGCTGCAGTTCAGTTTCGACACACCTCTAAGCTGCTTTTTTTAATATTAAGTCTCATATTTGTTTAAATCATAACTAAAGCTAATATCCGTTCTCGGCCAACGAAACTATACTCGCATGCTAGCAAGAATAACTGGCAAAAGGATAATATGAAACGGTCTGAAACAATAATCGTAAATTTAAATCAGAAACAACCGTCTAGATTCATAATTAACCATTGTATACGTACTAAGGTCAGACATACAACGTGTAATTCGTCATAAAATCTTTTGGTATGGTCGTTACTAACGATAATAAAAACAGAACAAGGTTTGACAATGTTAATATGTCGCTATATTTAACTATCGGTGAAATCCTTCATGAAATTAATGATGCGAGGTTGAATTTCAAAGTAATACCGCAGGTCAGGAGTATCATGAACAGAAACGAAGATCAACTTGAAAGCTCCTGTTAGCGGGGATCACGCACGGTCCGGTCAACTCCGCTACCCTAAAAGTCACGAAGCTCGCATCGGCTGTTTTCATCAGTACTATTTACAAGAGCAATCGCAAGATACGTCGGTACAACTGGTCACAAACAGGTGGCAACGAAAGCGATGTGTGAAATTTAGCCAGAGCCTAAAAATCGATCGTTGGTAAGGATTTAGAATGCCTGAAAAAGAATCTTTTGTTTAAAACCTTTCGCATATGGAAACTGATTCCCAATCCGCATACAAATGAGGACAGTACAAAATCCAGAAATAATTTGCAGAGGGCAAACTGGTTGCAACAAGAAATACAGCACCTGATGTACATCTAAAACAACATTTCCTGCGGTCAGACATCATCGATTCGAACTACTTTGCTGTTAAAGTTCTGTTAGCCTTGATGACTCTGACAACGTCTACAATAGCAAGGCAGCCCACATGGACAAATTTATAATTTCATACTTCAAAACGAGAAGCTGTATATTCATGGTACAGCTTGCCTACGTCTACAACTCGATATAAGAGGGTGATTTTAAGTCGCCTTGCGGTGAGCCCTCCAGAGAATTATTAAATGATTACAGTCACTGTCTCTTAATTTCCGTCAACCTTCACTGATATTCTGTTGCCTCTATGCCTGACTGCTCCAAGGCCGATAACTTTCGATATCTTTTCACTCCATCGCCGATTAAAGCTTGAATTTAGGTAACCCCAAGAACCAGAAGCGAACGCTGAGTTTCCAGCGCGCAGAAAGCAACAACTCTAGTTTCAGGGCAACGATTATTGCATCAGGGTAAAACACAACGTTCGTAAACCTCCAGTATGCGAAACATGTGAGGCACATCGGTCCTTTCAGAGTAGACTGCAACTGCGGAATCCACATGTGACAGTTGATGCAATTGCGAGTTTTTCGACCGGAAGAATAATCAGCGGAAGGATCGCCAGGAATACTGTCGGTTTCTTCACTATAAAAAGAAAAACATCAAATCAGTGCACGCATGTTCACCGGCAATCCGTAAGATCAGTCAACGAAGAATACACAAGAGCAAAATTTCACATAATCCTTCAGGCTTTTAATATCGTTCAGCAAAGTTAGAATGACAACCTGATTTCAAACAAACACACATCAAAATTATCTAACATATATTATGTCACTTCTCTAGGTCTGCACGAAAACGAAACGTTCCTTGCTTCTAGATATCGAGGGGTAACGTGACCTCTAGACAATGACGCTGTTGACTTAGAACAGAACTCAGTGATGCGGCCTTACATCCATGAACTTAAAATACTCAAATACCACCGATCTGCGGACTGTATAAAGAGGCACCGCTTAACCTCCAGAAGGAAGTCATTTTATCATAAGAATTCAGCGAAGTAACGCCATTCTTATTTTCATCCGCAGCAGTAATAAATCAACCTCTGATGGTAAACCCAGTTTTCAACAGGGCGATAATATTTGCGGTTACTTAAACTGTTACACACCGCAGACAGCTCATCAAAGCACAGAAGTTAACGAAAATAGGATATTCAAAGTGACTACATGATTACACAAAGGATTAAACCTTAGTGTTCAGCGACACGCTAGGGAAAAAGTTAATACAAAGACAAATATGTACAAGACTGGTATATACAACACATCGCAAATCCAAGAGAGTAGGGAAAAGAGAATCAGGGCATGTGGATAGTATCTGAATTTAGCAACGGCAAGTACAGTGACTTTCATCACTACTGACAGCTGAAGGAGTTCAATTCATGGTGAAAGGAACACAAAGAAATCAGGAGTCGGTTCCACTCGACCGCAAGCATACGAGGCTTTTGCGCAACAGGTGGTAAACGTCGTCAAGAATATTTAATCCAACAGATCATTCTGTCGCTACAGTTTCAGGGACACCGATGTACTGCCTCTCAGAAAAATGAAGCATACTTCTCGTCATATGCTAGACATAGGTGGAATAAAAAATCACACTGCCTACCAAAAAACCCAGAAAATAACATCAATAAACCTGTCGACAAAAGGGGTTTAGAATGTTTTAACAGAACAATTTAAGAAGAAAGCCCGATCTGACTATTCAAATGGTGGTAACTGACACTACGCTAAACTAGCCTACAACATGCTCCGTGAAAAAAACTGCTACAGATCACAGAAGTTTGTCACAAACCGAGTTTTAAAATTTTCCTTATTTTTTATCTGCATCAAATACATAACGGCTTATGGCACAAGCGCGAAATAATCTTATACCTTATTCTGCTTCAGACAGAAACTATCAATAAGGATATTAATAAACAGTAATTAACCACATAGTCACACTAAGAATTAAGATGACAGCACATGGCCTTCATGTTCCTTACTGCAGTACACCACAAAAATTTTACTTAATAAACTACCGAACCATACCTGCCTCGTAAAAATGTCAGTAGCGTGCTAAATAATATTGTGCGCATGAACACTGATTTTTCCGTATAACAGAACACTGATCAATTTTCAAGATTAGAAGATATTCATCGCCAAAACAGGAGTGAACTTTGCCTAATATGAATATACATCCTGAAGTACCATTTCCAACGGTCAGGTATCATAAATAGAGGTTACTCAGCTATATAAGCTCTGTTAATATATAACGTTACATAAATTATTACAGATACCGTGCCTGTATTCTGAAAAATCCAGTACTTGCTCAGAATATTCCAGAAGATTGCTTCTCACTGCATCCTGGTGCATCCTTGTTCATAACATGAAGAACTGATAAGACACGATAAAATAACACTGGGATTGCCTGAGCTACCTAATGAATATAAATTCTTATTCAAAATGAACCAACATGTATATAGAAAGGCGAATAAAACTGGCTTTTTAAAGGTGTACAATAACTCTTAAAGGCAGGAAAGATACCCAGACTGAGGTGAATGGAATTGAAATAATTTTGGCCTTGCGGAAAGTTGCACATTTTACTTAACAAGTCTGTGGAAAGATCACATCAGTTCCACCTGTACTGCGCAGAAGTTGTAAATCTAGTTCCTCTTTCGTTTTAGCTCAGATTCAGATCAGGTTATCAGCCAGTGAACAAAGACGCGTTTCAATAATTTCCATTTCCATTTCCATTTCTCCCTTGCGTACTTCCACTGCATCACTTATTTGTCACTTGTCCGCAATTTTTGTTCATATTGTCACCTTAATTATTCCTCCACTGTTAAATGCTTATCAGTGAATATACCTGATGATGGCTTTCGTGTCTGAGGCCAAAGCGTCGGAATAAAATTAAAAAAATTATTTCGTGTCAAAAGCCCTGTACTGCTGTAGAAATGGATAACTTACATTTCGCTGGATGAAAATGATATTCTGAAGATGCTTTCATTTGTCTTCCTAACGCCGCTACTCATTCGCATTTCGCAACCGAGTGAATGAAATTGATTTTTTCCAATCCCGAACCCACAGGCGGTGACCCTTGACACAGGGTTCAGGCTTCTAATACACAGGGTAATTAGCGCTTTTAAAGTTTTGAGTAACAAAAGGATAACTCTGCAGTTGGCATACTCTTGCTGTTTCACTGGAGCCATCCACACAGATTTATGACTCTCTGGGTTACAGCAAAAACTTGAAAATCACCATACTTTTCTCTTTCACGACTCCCGATTTGCTGCAAGGCACTGGTCTGCTGCAAAGTCGTTTTCTTCGACAAGTAATAATAGTTCACCAAGTTAGCGCGAGTTTTATGGGGTAGCTACAAAAAACCGTTAAAATGTGTGAAGTAGACGGACAGAAATGTGTGTGCACAAACCATGCAATTACTCAGTTACCATCCCCGCCAAATCCGGAGGCAGGATTGGGAACCACCTTCGAGTAAGATTCCACAGAAAGCGTGATAAAATCATCACAGGGGGAGCAGGAAGACAACCCTCGCATGATACCATGCCCATGTGAAGGGACATAAAAAGTTCAGTGGGAGCTCGAGGACCAGAAAAAAGCCTTTCACCTTACCAAGTTAAACTCCCAGGTAAAAAGAGCTCTTGGTTGAACAGCACGTAACACTGGAAGGACATGACTGAATCGATGGTACGAGAACATCGGCATCAAGAAATTGGTTAAATAGGCAGTCTAACGTGGTATTAACTGTTCAGTCAAGCAAAAACGTCAATCGTGACAGATTTGCGAGCACTGGATAGCCTGGTCGCCAATAAACTATTACAACAGCAGCAGAGACTGGAAATTCAAAGCTTACGGCTCTAAACGTTTTAAAGTGGGATCCTTCAGAACCGAAAGGTCGCAGGTTCGAGTGCCGGTCAGGACACTCG